AATACAGACGGTAATAGATCGATTGTGCTGATACAATTCCTCTGGTGGACTGAAGAAGTCGTCGTACGTCTTCTTCGGAGTTGGTCTTGTTGACTTGCCTTTCAATGTAGAGGCGTCAGGTCCAAAGCTTGCTTCGGCATGATTGATCGCTTCTTCAGTGATAGGACAGTTCTTGATGAGACCAGATCGGATCGCATACTTCAGACTTTTGGTGCTTGGAGCATTGAGTATGTGCATCGTACTTCTCGCTTCCATTGCAGCCTTGACTTGTCTTGGAGTGAATCCTTCCTTGTTCTTTCGAACTGTTGCCATCTTCAAGGTCATCCCGAGCCCATCATATCCATTCTGCTTGTTTGAAGAAAGTTGGAGATGGGGTTGTTTATTTACGTTGCTTAACTGGCAACAATACATTGCACTTGTCTCTTTGGCACCTGGTTTGACATTCGTTCCAAGTTGCTCCAACACATATACACCCTTACGATTCACAAATCGCATCTGTCTGTCTCCATCGCAATACACAACAAAGGCATTGTCAAAATTATCGCAGAGGCAAAATTAAATATGAAAAGGTTCCAATCAAACCGCGACAGTAAAAAGCACGTGGCCACATGACAGAAGCAGAGCAAGCCATGTCCTAATGTGACATGAGCCAGCCGATCAATATGATCAAACTTTCTTTTCCGATGCAGCGCACCCACGGGCTTTGGTCTTTCCACATCTCTTTTCCTTAAGGAACATCAGGTATTGCAGGGCATTCTTTCTTTGTTCTGGGGTCAGTTGGCTTCTGTACTTGGGCGATATAACATTCCTGTAGTGGATCTGATGCATCTCCGCCACAACTGCTTCGGCTCCTGATTCTCCAAACACTTTCAATCCTTTCTTTGCCAACATTTACTCAGTCAGAAAAGCTACCTCATGATGGAACAAGGCTACCATCTCTGTATATTCCGGCACATGCCCGTCCCTGTGTGGAACCTGGATGAGGACTTGGTGGTCACCATGCATTGTTGGGTACTTTCTGGGGCGAAGGTTCCTTCCTTACCTTATTGGCCTGGGCAATAAGACCCGTATTGCTTCTTGTCGGCTCCAAGGATGAACACCATCGCCATCTCCTTCTCCACAATCTTCTCTTCGACCGCCTTCAGCTCAGCCAATGTCGGGTCCGACTTGCCGGTTTTTTTTTTGACAAGCCTGGATAGGGAGGCTCCCATGGGATAGTCACAGAATCTGGCTGTTCTGGAAAGCTGCATGAACGCCTGGAGGTACTCCGCATTGGACTGGTTTTCCTTCTGTTTGCAGGTGTATGCCTTTCTTTGGGCGTTGACGCCCATCATGGTTGGATCAACGTTGTCGGATCCGCCTGCTGTGGTGGCAACGTACTGGAAGATCTTGAGCATGGCCATGGAGCTTTGACTTCCTGTGACGGTGCTCCATTTGGGGTGGCCCTCAACGGCATTCAAGAATGCTGTGGAGCAGTTGGCGTTTCAGCAGTGCGCAGAGGGCTGCTTCATTCGCCTTTCGCTTGTCCTTTTCTGCTTCATATTTTGCGTCCAATTTCAGGTCTTACGGTACACGTGTATTGGGTCGTTCATCGACGCTTCCCGTCTGCTATAGTACGTTTTTGCCGTCTTCCCTTCACCCCAAACTGCCAACGTTTTTGAAAAATATTAGCTGTTCATCTATTATCTACCGGTACAGCACTTGTACCGCTACCTTTTTAGAATGAGTAATGATGCAGATAAAAAAGTGGAGGCAGACGCCGACGGAGATGACGATGATGAAGATCTGGAAAAGTTGCAAGCTGAGATAAAGCGGATGGAAGAAGAAGCTGCGCGGATAACCAAGGAAACCGAGGAGCTGGAAAAGAAAAAGGGGGACTCAAAAGCAACTACCGACACAGCAAAAGCCTCTGCGCCGGCAGATGCCCCCAGTCAAGATGGGTACGACCATTACTGATTCCAAATTTCAATATTTCGAGCTTTCTAAGTGTGAGTTGCCTTGTTATTTCAGACACTCGATCTATGTCGGTCAAGTTGACTATTCGGCTACGCCGGAACAGGTACGACGATTATTGATTCCAATATCAATGCTTTCTAGATTTCTAAATTTCAGTTCGATCTCTACTTTGATGGAACAGCTCTTGTCTCATTTCGAAGCTTGTGGCACTGTGGAGCGCGTCACAATTGTTTGCGACAAATTTTCGGGCAGACCAAAAGGTCCGTAATGGTCTCATGTTCATTTCTATGAATACATCGCTTCCAGCTCTAATCATCTGAATTTTGGTTCCTGATGGCACTTTGTACTCGTTAGGTTTCGCATATCTCGAATTCTCGGTAAGCCAAATGAATGATATATTCATGCTAGAGAGATTTCCGTTTTTGTTGGTCCCTGGAATGGCTGATTATGAATGATATCCAGTACCGGCCTCAAGTGCGGGAGGCCTGTTGGTGCAACATATTTTTTCACTCTAACCCAAAACGCTCTCTTATTGCACCCAAAAAGACCGATGCTGCGGTTCAAAACGCTTGCAAGCTTGATGGGTCAGAATTTCTTGGCCGCACGCTGAAGGTACACCCCAAGCGAGTGAATGTTGCTGGGTTCAACCAACAGCCTGATGCTGGCGGCAGAGGCAGAGGCGGACGTGGCGGATTTCGGGGTGGACGCGGTTATCGCGGTGGTTTCAGAGGTCGTGGATACCGTGGTAGGGGACGGGGTGGATATCATCCCTATTATTAAATGTGAAGGTACAGTAGCTATAGCTCCATCGTTTTCTTTTCGCAGGTTTCGTCGGTGACGGTTGAAGGATGTTGTATTTTGACGAGATGACCACTACAATCTTTACAGAAGAAAGTAATGAAAAAACATAATAGTGAAAAAAATCACAGAAATGTCGGTTCCTGGACCAACAACACCATTTTGATTAGCGCCAGATGATGTATTCTTACCCTTCAGTCAATTCATCAAATCGGCTGAAGAAAGTCATGCAATTTTTTATCTGATGCCATTTCATCACAGCAGTCCACGTATCTACCCTGTTACAAGGTAGACCCTATTCGCCCTCGTGCCAAGCTGCACAGGGACTTGTGTCTCAGTGAAACTGCAGAATACGATATTGAAATGAGTTTTTCGCTGTTTTGCCATGTACTTGAATGCGTATTATTATTACTATAGGTAGTACTGATACCAGGTACAGCACCGGTGGTACTACTATATATCAACGCCTCATCTTGTTTGAAAAGGGTGCGTTTCTGAGGCCTTTGGGGGACTTCGCGAGAAACTCAGGTGTTCTCTTCAGCTGACGACGTCGGTGCGACGTATCTGATACTGTAGCGTACCGGTCCAGTAGTGTATGCCAGCATCACCAAATCCGAATACACCAGGCCACCACTTGTAACATTCTTCTTGATCGTGGCCAAGGGAAGGAAGTTCTCCAGTACTGTAGATTGTCGATCAAAAGTAGACCGCCAAGATTGATCTAAGATTCAGTTTACTGTTTTCATAAAAACGCACAGGCATCAAAATGATCCGTCAAAAGCAACGGCTGCATAGATTCAGTGGTTTTTCGATTCGAAGAAGCTTCAGTCAAACGTCATCACAAAAAAGCGCAGAGCCTGCAAAGGAGAGTGTACCAATCATACGTTCCTTGTTCGCTGCTTTTGCTGGTGTTGGCGCTGTATCTGCAGCTGCTACGTTGGTGGAATCTTCGACCGCGGAGTCTTGTCTTCCATATTCTGAGAAAGGACAAAGATATGATCAAGACACATTCGCTGGCCGATTCTGTAGGATGAAGCTTGCTTGTGATCCTTCCTTGCTGATCTACACAGAGGAACAAGTACGAGATGCTCAATCTGTTCTCGAAAAAGCTGCACAGCACAAGAACGACCGATCCATGGACCGAGAGCTATGGGAGGCGAAAAGAATCGTTGATGCAGCCGTGCACCCGGATACCAAGGAATTCATACCAAGGCCTTTTCGAATGAGTGGATACGTACCCTACAATGGACCTATTTCAGTATCGATGGTTGCTTCTACGTCTACCGTACCCTTACTTTTTTGGAGCTGGGTGAATCAATCACAAAATGCTCTGGTAAACTACTACGTAAGTTTCTGATGTGTTTGCAGGAAGCGGTAGCTGATTGCCATCCCTCACTTGTCAAATAGAATCGGAATGCTGCCAGCCATATGAGCAACGAGACGCTGTTGAAGTCGTATAGTGCAGCCGTCGGCTCGGCTCTAGTCGTTGCATTTGGCTTAGCAACCTTCATCCGAAAAAGGCATTCGCCTACCAGGGCGAAGGAACTCATGAAGTTTGTGGCTTTTCCATCAGCGATTGTGGCCTCGAGCTTGAACTGTTACATTGTACGTAGTCCTGAAATTGAAACTGGAGTTCCGCTGTTGGATGGTGAAGGAAATAATGTATGTGAAGGGGAAACTTCGTCTATCGCAGCCAAGCGCGGTGTATACTCGACAACACTATCACGAGCCCTATTACAAGCTCCTGTTTACTTGCTGCCACCTTTGCTACTGAGTGGTCCTCTTCAAAACTTTGTGAAGCAAAGACCCGCAATTCGTATCCCACTGACTACTTTTTTGATCCTAACTGCATTTGGAATCGGGCTTCCTGCAACTGTGGCCATTTTCCCCCAGATTGGAAGCATTACGCCAGAAGAGGTAGAACCAAAGTACCAACATCTCAAGGATCCAAAGACACGAGAGCAGTACACTATCTATTACTACAACAAGGGTCTTTGAGGAAAGTCGTACTGATTCGGATGCGATCGCTGTGAATTTCAGATGTCTTTAATGCCGTCATCAATTGTCAGTGTTCGCAACCTTCGTAATTTTTTCGCTTATGCCTAGCAGCGGAAAGCTCGCCAGGTTATGGTAGACGAGCGGTGTCTTTCGCGTTGCAACAGGGTTCTTGCGGAAATGCCTAATTATCAGAAGTTTTTGACCGCTCATCTATCCCCTCTTGTTGAAGTTGTGTTTCGAGGTGCTCATGAAATCTCTCTAGCCAATAGAACTACATTAGAAATCTTTCTGTTAGATTCCAAATTGGTAACGGGGTGTATAGCGTGAATGCGAAACCTACCTGCCTTTGGGCTCTTTGCTGACTATCGATTTCGCCTCTCAAGGATGAAACAGGTGCAGAGAAAACACCTCGTTCCGGTGTCGACTTGTTCAACTCGTTCCACAGTTCCGTTGAAACACCCGGAGAAAGTTGTTTGTCCGAGCAATGTTTCAGAGGGTCAGAAGACGATAGTACGCGCCCTGCATGCGAAAGATCGTGGTGCAAGCCTTTGTCACACTGTTGGTCATTATTGGAGCCGTTAGAAGCTGGCAACGTTGCAGGTGCGACGAATCCGATCTTAAGACTAGACGACCCCGTGTTATCTAATGTAGGCCCATGGGTATAATGAGACGAGGGGGTGCTGGTATCAATGTTGGGATACAAATCAACGCCATTTTCCTTCAATTTCCCACTTTGCAAACGCGCGAGGGTGTCGAGCTGCCGTGTTGCAGCCTCAATGTAGAGATCTCTTTCTCTCATCAGAGCGCCTTTCCTATAGTCTTCTACAGCCCCGATCAAAGACTGACTTGATGGCGAGCCCTTCCAGTCGGGATGGGCTTGCCTAAAGCTGAACAAAGCTGTGGAAGAACATTGAATTGGACCGTAGAACTTTGAAGAGGCAGAAACAAGGCGGACTGACTCACATTTCTCCATTTTTCCTTCGCGACTTCTTGGCTTTGGATGTTGCAGCACTGCATTATCCACATTGCCATTCCTCATAACTGACTCTGCTATGGACTCCGATCCTTCTTGCGGTGAAGATTCGCCCAATGTTCGTCCTTCCCAAGCTTGGTCCTTGAAGTTTTCGAAATCGAATGTAGAATATCCAACAACATCACCCGTGTTCGGGACTCGTGCCTTTGTTAGCAAGCAGAATTGGCAAATCGCAGGGGCACATTTTGACAGCTTGAAATACAAAATATATGGAGCAAGCGAGAAGGAAACAAGCTCCCAAACAAAGAGTTTCACTTTCGAGTCAAAGAGGTTTCCGAATGCAGTACACACACCAGAATCCCATCCCCGTCCTTTCCAATTCTCGGGATAGTAGTGAGTATACTCCGATACGTTTTTCAGTGCCGTATCCATATCCTCAAAAAGATTCCGTGAGACACTCGGTTGAGCTTCCTTGGTTGGAACTAGAGCTTTTCCTATGCTATAGACAATTCCGGCCATTCCTGCATACCACAGTAGATTGTGTCCCCACAAAGCCACGTGTAGTAGAAGAGAATCACTTATGGTGCCAAGAAGCAACAACAGGGAGCCCACCGCTCCACCTACAAAGATAAATATCCTACCAACGGCTTCTTTCCATTCGGATTGACCGAACATATCGAGATAGACTTCAGCAGCCTTGCAAGATGGCTCTATCCGTTGCTCCAACACATGTGGGAGCTCATTGAATTCTCGAAACGTCCATATCGCAGCTGTGGACCAATATTTGTTCCCCATATATTGACGCGACGTCTTGAAGTCATACATGTTCCTGAGAAGGAAATGGAATAGAACAAACATAATCAAGAATGGAAGGAACAAAGCATGTACAATCCCACAAAGCTTCAGCCGGCGTGCTAAAGCATCCGCATCCAAGTAAAAAGCAGGCCGAACCTCGTACTTGTGATTGAACATGAAATTCAACACGGTCGTATAAATGCACCACTCTAAACTCGAGCACCAGTACTGCCGATTACCAATTCGAGTATCGAGAATATTCTGGTTCCAAAATGCGATCAAGAAGTTGTCTTTCCTCATGACCCGTTGTGCTATACATAAAGGATCCAGTGGGGCTAGTGACATTTGATACACTCCTGATTCTTGAGCCTCCATAATCTTGGTCACTACTGTGTCCCATGACACGGCACCCCCTCGTAGCTTGCGTCTCGATATACCAAGTTTTTCGTGTATAATGTACCTGCAAACCAACGCTTGTTGCAATGATTGCCAAAATTTCCATACAAAGAAAACAAAGTAGAAAAAGAAGAGTAGACTAAAACCTTCCGCTACAAACCAATGGACCCACCCCAAGGGTTCTTTTCGGTAGTAGTCAGGCCAGTTGGCTAGACACGAAGTTTCGTCCTGTACACAGAGAAAATTGTGCGTGATCGAGGCGATGGGTAAGGCGCTGTGTCTATATGGTTGAAATAATCCTCAAAGCTTACCTTGCATGTTGCGAGTCTCCTCCAATCGACATCTCTAATTAAAGTTCGTGACAACCACAGAGTGAAGAGTAACGTAGATGCTTCAACAACGAAATTGCATAGGATTGGGACCAAGCCGCGATAATAATAATAGTGGTAAAGATGAGTAAGAAAGACATCAAGATTGCTGACAAGACCATGTGTTTCCCCCGCAGATGCAATAGCTTGAAGGGGGAATTTTGACAACATGACGAAAGGGTTGCCAGATTCAACTCGTTGCTCATCATTTTCATCTTCAAGGCTATTAGGTCTTAGATCCTGGATTCCGAATTGTCTATCGAGATCCATGTCTGTATTGTTATTGCCACTTGAATGGCGCGGATGATTGTTCCAAGCTTCTGCTGCTGCTCCCCACGCAGTTGCCGCAGTCGTGCGTATTCTTTGAAGCGAGGAATTTACCATGCTCGCAAAGATGACTGCTGCGTTGGTTCGGCTGTGTGGAGATTCGGCGTGGAATCGAGATTGATGTTGTCGCACTTCTCGTGATTCAACGTCGTCCAGTTGATCCCACAGATCTGCGCTACCGTCTTCATCATTACCATCGTCCAACGTTTGATATCGAACATTTGAATACATATTATGCTCTTGTGGCAATATTGAATTCAATCACAAATGTCCTGAAGTATTTACGCTTGACTTCTGAAGACTGGAGAGAGAAGCAGCGGTACTCGTACCGTTACTGTGCCGGTAGTTTGTTTTGATTAGTCGTTAGTTGTTGTATTGAAATGTTTGATAAAAGTCAAACTAGTCGATTATCTAAGGGTTAGGAGTCGTACATCTCGTTTCATAATTGGTGGCTAGATATTGTCCTAGCCCACGCAGGCTGGGTGAGACACAGATTCGGGCCTCCAAGAGTAGAACTCGAAGAGTTCCAACTCGAAGAGTCCACGAACTTGAAGTCTCCGCAAGATATAAATCCTGCGTCCTTTTCTTTCCCCCTCTGCTTTCTCAGATGTACAACCCACAAACATTGCTCTTCCCCCCAAGCAACTGGCACTTCAGTGACAGTATAAGGTGATCTTGACTCGCTCACGAGGTTTCCATTTGCGATAGCTCGTGCCTACTTTTTCGTTGGAGCGGCGGAGGCGCCAACGCCCATGTTTGT